TGAGAGCGACTATTAAATTAGTACTGGAAGGATCTTGAATTACCGTCGCGTCTACACAAACAATGATAGCGCGATTAATTTTGTTTGTAATGTTAATTTATTTTCACTAATCAATCAAATTTCACTCTCGACTCTTGCTTATTTCCTTCTTACCCATCTTTTTCATTTATTTATCTTTTTGTAATATTTATTCTATTTTTATGATCACTGAATATGTTTATTTACATACTTATATGTTAACATTATTTACAATAATTTGGCAAATCAAACCCAAATCGAAAGACATCTACATCAAACATCAAGATAATGCTAAAATGGCATCATGAAAAATGATTTTTTTCTTTACTCTACAGGAATTTAAATATCTAGGCCTAAACAGACATAGAAGTACGTTTTTCCCACTCTATAAACAGTATCCTCATGCGTTACACCTCTCAGTTAAAATTTTTTGAGAATCGCCGATTCATCAGATTAAATGCCATTTTAGACTAAAAATATAATAATTTTAATACTGTAATGATCATGTAATTAAAGATAAACTTTAAATATAGAGTTATTATTCCAATTTTTTCACTTGCAAAAAAGTTGCTTCATTCGTTCTTATTAGTATAAGTTTTCAAGTATTATGTAAATATTTCTTCAATAAAATTATTTATTTGACGTGAATAGTGTGGATAGGATATTTTGGGATTTTGACATTTTTATACATAGCTTTTTTGTAGGTTTTGGAATACCATCATACATTTGTTGAATGCTCAATTGCCTTTGTATACACTCAAACATACCTCCGAAAACAAGTGGGAATTACCTTGCAGCCTGAAATATCCCCCAATCATATTATCTACTGACATTTCCTTACCCTTAATTTTCGTCTTAAAGTTTTCGTAACATAATACTAGAAGTATTTTCCGATGTGCTCTTTATTCAGCAACTGTTACAAATAAGCAAGCGAAAAAGCTTGATAATATTCAACTACTAGAGATGTTTCCACGAAAGGAACGAAGGAATAGCGTCGGCGAAGAAAGTCGTGCAGAAGCGCTGATAATTCGATTCACCCACACACAGAGCCACTTCGCGGTTCCACTGCCCTGTGAACGCTAACGAGGCAGAATCTTCAAAGAAAAGGAATGATGTAATGTTGCATGTGCAGCAGCTTTGTTGGAAAAATTAATTTATTTTATTCATTGGAGACAAAATCATAATTCATTCACCATGCCATTCAATTATTCATTTTCAGTTATATTTTTGGACCTCAAAGTCGTCAAATGAGAAAGATTCACTGCAATATGTAAATTGTATTCTTTCAAAACCAGTGTGATCCTTTCTATGGAAAAGATGGGGTAAAATACATATGAAGAGACAGACTCTTGAAACTTAAAAGTAATTAACATTTTAAATATTTACTCATGTATTTTTATTTCAATATATACCTACAAAATTCGTGAAGTAAGAAAGAAGGAATGACACTGACATTTAACTTATTTCATTTTTTAATTCGCTTTTCAATTACAAGGTTTTTTACTCGAATTGTTATCAGGAATGCGCTAACCTGTAGGGCCTAAAGTATTGTGTTGTGTGCACGACTGTGTATATAGTTGTGTAGTGCATGCACATTTCCCTCAAATAATTAAATAAATATACTGCAATAATGTTATTTAAAGTTTGTTCCTATGAATCACAATATTATTAGCTTCCCTAAATATCGTAATATTTTTTACATTCTTCTGAAAATCGTCATATTTGCATTCCATATTTAAATTGCAATATAATCAAAGTCATAATTTACGAAGTACAAAATATTTTGGAGTGAAAAGTTTATTTTACGATACCTAGATTTATTTTTTAAATTACTCTAAGAACAAGGGTATTATTGGCTTTTTTGTTAAAATGTTCGACAATAAAACGAATCTACTAAGCCAAAGTTATTACTAGCAGAGCAATGCAAACCACCCGTTTCTAATATTTTGAACACTATCCCTTGGAGTGTTACACACGAACAGCAAGAAAAACAGGCTCGGTGTATACTTTATATACCAACTAATATTTTCAATTATAAATAACTTCCAGGAAGCACCAGATTGCACAAAATAAAAACTCCACAAGAGAAACGAGCACTGATACTGCAGTCGACACACAGCGCTCGTTAACTTCCTTTTTAGTGCGCGGCGCGGCGCGGCGCGGCGCACTTCCTGAGCCAACAAGAAACGACGAGCTCATATATATGTATATTCGCATCCTGAGCGATTGTATGTAAGCAACAGTGTGAGCATAGCTGCACCCGTGAACGTAGTTAACAACCTGACTCTTCTGCAGCTGAACATCTGTTTCTTTGACCAACCTTCCGGCAATTGGGGTGGTGGAGCTCATCTGTAATGCGCCTCTCATCATGAAATGTCCTTGGATTATTTACAGCGGAGAGAATCATTAAAAGGCACGACCCTTATCAATACAACACACGAAGGAGGAAGGTTTTCCTCGTTCAGAGCAGGATTCGATCCACGAACGCACTAAGTAGTTGAGTGTTCATCAGTTACCCCGCACTCTTCTGCACTCCAGATAAGCCGAGTATTTTTCTTTATGTCCAGGAAAAAGTTTTATCTACGTCTTATTAAATATTATCGAATAGAAATATATGTCATTAATAATATCTTCCGGGCAGGATAGCAGTGAGCTATATATCAGGATATTCTGTGCCCAAACATTTCATCTGTGAATGCGGCAGATATCTTCAGTGGATACTGGTACTCGCAGTGTCCTGTCCGACAGCTAACTGGTGACTCGTAAACATTTTTTCTTTCTTTACGGCGCTGGGGCACTGAAGATTGTAGGCTGCGGCACTGGTGTCTTCTGTCGGCAGACGGACATAGGAACGGTTTAGGTTTCACCGGACGGAGCGCGGATAACCATGTCGAGTGGATTTTTACCCCTTCCTCTTTTTTATTAAAATTTAAACGATCTTTTAGAATCTCATTGTTTACACGGTGTATGTGGTAGTATTCCATAGAGATAAAAATTCATCTTTAAATCTGATGTTTTGCTCGCGATTGAGAAAACCGTGTTCGGCCAGTGCAAACTTCTCAGTTTGGACAAAACGACAGTTCCTTGTATTTTCGGATAGGTGAATGTTTCGTTGAGAGGTCTCTATGTATACGGCGTCGCAAGAACAGGGAATTTTGCACCGCTCCTGATGACGATAGTGGGTTCCATCAGGTGAAGCCTAAACCGTTTCTACGTCAACAGCCGAAACCAGCATCCCGGCCGACAATCACCAGAGCCCCAATGCCGTTAACACAGAAATGTTTACCAGGCACTGTGAGAACCCGTAGCCACTGAAGATTTCATCTGCGACTGCAGCAGACCCGTTTGGGCACAGAATGTTCAATAGACCACGGTTATCCAGCCCAGAAGATATTATTAATTACATATCCAGCCATGAAAGCCTACATTGTTTTAGAAGTAGATGTTATTGGAATGCTTATTTAAAAGCTGTCTTCCGAGAAAATGTTTTGATCGGTAGGTGTTGAATTCTGTCCTCCGTCACTCTTTGGCCCGCTGAAGATATTTCGTATTCACACTTTATGCAAGACTTAGTAGAGGATTAATATCAAAAGAGGATCTGATATATTTAATAACGAACGTTAACCTCTCCTGAAAAATTCCCCGTGTCTTATCACAACAGCATTTCTTAGGTGTAGTATGACCTTTGTATCATGAAGTCCCAGTTTATAGAAATTTGGAAACACCTTGAAACGATAATATTTATATTAGCGCAACAAAGAATTTCGTACTTGGAGCTTACAAAAAAGGTAATTTCTGTAGTGTTATATAGGGAGTATTTGTTGATAATTAATCTCCGATTGTGCGCATTGACTTCTCACGGGGAAGGTTGCTTTGTTCAAACTAGACACTATTCTAAACAGCATTAAAAGAAAACATAACTAAATTAAGTTTAAAAAATTGACATTTGATATTACCACACTCATTTAAACATCCACTCGCACTCATTAGGTCCCGTTCTTTTATTCATTCTTTCGTTCCGTAGACTTTTCAGAATCTCCTGAGTCTTCCTCTTCAGCACGTATCGTAATGATTGCCTCGCTCATCTTGAGTTATTGGGGTTTCTGCATGTGTGTGTGTGTGTGTGTGTGTGTGTGTGTGTGTGTGTTTGTGTTTGTGTTTGTGTTTGTGT